TCCGGTGGTTTGGGCGGAAGGTGAGGGGAGGAAAGGAGACAAATGGACAAGCAGAGCTAATTGGTGCGATTTCGGTCGGGCCAGAGCAACTGGGCAGACGAGCAAAGAGGGTCACAGGCAGTAGAGACAGATGAGATAGCCCCAGTCGTAAGCCGCGACCAACCAAGCCCGAATGTGGTCTTCCCGTTCATGTGTGTCCATCGAAAGGATACGTCTGTGCACTCATGTCCCAGCTCCTGTGTGCTTGCGTCTGTCCGTATGTTCGCGTGCCGTTTAGGCTTGCGCTTGGGATTTTTCTCCCGTGTCTACCCGGTTGTGTAACACATCGTGGCCCCGAGACGCCATAAAATGCCAAATTAACGCCCGACTGAAAACAAACTGACACGCCAAAAAACCGCTAATCGAGCTAACTTGCTGGTCTTTCTGTAAACGGTAGTTTCAGTAACGGCTTCGCCAAAGAGAGGAAGCGAGAGAGAGAGAGAGAGAGAGAGAGTTGATTGGAGGGAGAGGTAGGAAATGTTGTAAGTATAGGAATAAAGAAAACATAGCGAGAGAGAGAGAGAGCGTTCCACAGGAGCAAATGGAAGAGAAAGGTTGAGGAGCTTGGGGCCGATTAGATAACCGAGGACATGGACGGAAGAAATGGTTGAGATGTCTACAACCAAAGTTAGGCTATAAAAAGTAATACAGCCGAGCTGGTCTCGAATGATAGGGGCTTTTCAAGTGATTGCATTCGAGCCCAGTCGCCCGGCAATATACACGTTTCCGAACCAGCATTCGTGTCTGTCATACTTTACCATGAGGCCAACAGACAAAACGACTGATGAAATTGATACCGAAACCAAATGACAAATAAATGGAGCCCATCCATAACTGACAACTAATGATCTATTAGTTGGGAAACTAGGTGACTGGTAGAAGAAATTCTATCGAACACACTCATTTCTTCTCTAAATATGATCGGATTTTAGCAGATGAGAGAGACAAATATGAATCCTTCATTAAAATGTTAATAGCTCTTCTATACGGCTGACTCTCTGTCAAACGAGCAGGCCTACATCCAATTCGGTTTCGCTTTGCCTTGAGTGAGAGGCAGAATAAGTTTATAGCAAAAACTTTCATCTCATTAAATAGCGTTGACAAGACTACTTAATACTCATACTCGTTTGAGAAGGCGGGTGGAAGGGATTCGTAGCTTGGCCTCACCGGATACCGAAGGAGGTTGGCCTCGAACTTTTGTCTGTTGCATTGTGCGAAGAAGACCTCAGCTCACCGTCCTACTACGCCGATGACTCCTTTCTGGGCTTTCGTCCGTCGTGCGACGGTCATCGTAAGTACCAGAAACCATTATTCACGAAAAACGCCAAAAAACACTAAACCAAGAAAGGTGGCCGACTGGGATCCCATTTACTTTTTATACCTCACGTTGCTATCTTAATGATTTGGTTGGATGCTTTATGCTTGTCCTACATGCATGTAAGCGAATGAAAGTGATGCAGGGAGGGGAGAGAATGTGGTCGCAACTTTTGTCTTAATAAATAATATTGTGACTTCACTCCCTGGAAGATGATGCAGTCGATTGAAACTAACCAAACAAAGAACATCCTGAATAAGAGGAACGAATGTCGGAAACTAAGCAAGAACTATCTCTGGCTGAAAAATAGAAATGGAGCGAGCGAAAGAGAGGAAGAGCCACTGAATAAGAGAAGACTTGACTAAGATGAAGTCTGTTTTTCGACCTAAAATTACCAACCAACTCGTTAATTGAATATATGAATACCAAGATGTTGTGGCCTCTTTTAAGGTCACAGTCTCCTTTCGATTTCCTGGTCAAATCAGACCGGAGCTTTGACTTATTATCAATAAACTTAAACAACTTATAACGTTCAGTATCATAGGTCTTACTCAGTTTCTGCATAGAAGTCTGGTGAAGATGCTCATTAACCTTATCCGAATGGTAGGGTCTCTTAGGGTCACAGAACTTAGGAGTTATACCATAACGTTTACAGCAGTTTAAAAAAGAAAGATGGCAAGAATGACTCACAAAGGGATTGACCTCACTTGTCTCTTTGACGAGTTCGTAGCTCACTGATGATGCCGACTACA